TGGAGAAGGATCGGTTCAATGTTCTGTAGTGCTGCAGCGGAGTATTTGACAAACTGTGCATGCCAAACCCATGCCATATTCTCTGGCTGGCACATGGTCTTGTCAAAATTTGCAAGGGAATAGATTTGCGCAGTTGCCATTGCGTGTGGCAGGACCAACACCTGCAGCTGGAGGTGTCCAGAACAAGTTGAACACAAACTAAATGCAACTTGCTCTGACCGAGTACGAGCATTCTTGCACATGAGGCACGGATCCAGCGGCTGGAGCCGAAGGAAAGAAGCCGGAATCTCCAGCAAAGCAAGACATAAATGAGTGGAGAGATAGGTAGACCACACAGCGCAGACCACTTCTGGCCTTGTGAGGGGTTGGAGCATGGGCAAGAAGATCGCAGTGGGGGCAGGAGTAACAGCAGGCCTTTGGTTGAACGGGATCTGCGCACGCGTTTCTTGTAGCAGGCAACTATCCACTTTTCTGTCAGTTCAAAAGGACAGATCGCCTTACTGATTTCTCTCGTACCGAGATGTGGTTAACGAACTGAAGAACAGATTGCTTTACACATGTTGCAAATGTCACAGGTTGCACTATCACAGTAACTGCTTCGAGGTGTAGCAGTGGTAGGCGCTGCCTGCGTTGCCGGTGCCCTGCTGGCGGAAGGAGATGGCCTCGAAGACCTGGGCGAAACTTGGTGAAAATCCACATGTACCGAGCAGCACGATATACATCGAGAGACAATACTCCAAATTGTTGGAGGGCTTTATAGAATGCAACTAGGAACAAGGACGCTACTAGGGGCTCCTGGCATCGCTACTAGGAGCAAAACGCTACTACTCCGGTGAACTCTGAGAGTTCGGAGTTCCACCGACCCAAACACTGAGTTTTCTCCACTTTAGACTGTCTTTGAGGACACGATTGGTGAGATTGCTGGGGATGCCGGAGAGATTTGGCACCAACTTCACTTCGAGGGTTTGCACAAAAAAGGATGCATCAGAATGTGCAGTTCGAAAGCACCGTAGATTAAGTAAGCTCCATGGAGAGCTTTGAATACCAGAAACGATCGCCATATTTTTCGCTGCTGTTGCAGTGCAACATCTGCGCTTACTTCTTGGGGCTTTCCGTCTCAGTAGACGATCCATCATTGCTTTAGTTCACTTTTGAACCTCCTCCCGTGACTCGTATCTGGACTCTCCAAGGATGCTATCGGTGACGTTGCTGGCGATGTTGGGGAGCCGCGGCTGCTATTCCCGTCAATCCAGCAGTGGATTTTTTAGCCTTGTAGAAGTGGGAACCAGATCCATTTTGGTCCAAGTGCAGAGTTTCCAAACAAACATGCAGACAAAATGTCCGAAGGGAGCCTGGGGACATTTTTCCCCACATAGCTGAAAGCCAAATTCTTACTTCTCAATGAGTAGGTGGCTGATCGGCGTTTTGTGTGCCGCTGCTGCTACTGCTGCCGCCTTGTCTCCCCACTTTCTGACTTTGCAATCGGCGTGCCGCGTGCCTTGTCTGGGATGCCGCTGCTGCTGTGTCTCCCCACTTGTCTTCTGACATGTCTGCCCACTTGGCCCAAACTTTCTGCTTTTGGAGGCGGCGTGATAGAAATTTACAGTAAATCTAGGCAAAACCTTTTCATGAAAGAAGGTATACATCGTCGCTCTTGTACACAAAGGCCCCAGCGGCGCCAAGGAAAAACATGTACACGGCGCTACCCTGTGAATGCATCAAAAATAGAAGCCATAAAGGATTTGGGGTCGGGCCCTGCACCGGGTCCCCGGCGCTGGGCCCCAGCGTTGGGCCTCGGCGGCGCCCATCAAAAACATCCCGCCGGGCTGACAATGCGCCTGCGTTTTTAAGCCTTTATTTATGTCGTCAATCTTGAACTGGTGGGTTCAAAAAGGTCTGAAAACCAGTGGTTCAGAACATTTGACTTCGAAAAAATAGCCTTGCACGTCTCATTTACAGTGTGTTTCACTTCAAATTCGCGTTTCGCTGCAGCGAAATACGCATTTTCATGCAAATTCATCTCTTGAAATTGCTCTCTTAAAAAGAGGATTCAATGCCATTTCGCTATTTTGCTACAGCGAAATGAGAGATTGAACAATTCTAGTAAAAACACAATCGACAGGAGCAAACCATCGTAGTCATTCACGAGAAGAAAAAATCAGGAGCATTTGGCACAATGAAAATAGAAGATTGCGACGAGGCAATCACCGAATGCAGACGTCATTACCCCCCCAACCAGGACGATGCATTTGATTCGCATGATGCAACAAAATGCGTGATGTAAAGATGCCGATGACGTTGGACATCACAGAGCGTACGTCATTGACCCCCCACCCAACCCCCTCCACCCCCCACCCCAAGGTCGAAGATGCACCTGACACGCATGATGAGAGACAGCATGAACAATTATATTGATGTAGATAAGGCGGACAAATGTCGATAATATTCTTGGGTGATATTATAGGCAAAAATGGACATTCCCGAAGAGCGAGCACAACAATCCGAAACGCAAGGTATTTTCAGCAAAAAAGAACACAAAGGCAACGTGAACACATGCAATGCAATGAGATGTTGCCACGGAGGAAACATCAGAAAACGCTGCCCGCTGACAAAAACACGTGCGTGACGCGAAAAGGATTATGCTAACCGAAACCACGAATCATTGCTGTTAGATAAACAGATCTGGGGCTAGAAGCCTGGGGTGCTTTTTTTTTATGGAGAAATGGAGAAGTAGGGTGTTACCACAACGACTGCGCCAGTCACCATCAAACACGTTCAAGAGACAAAGCGGTCTTACCAGCGGGCTTTGGGATGTTGTAGGATACTACAGCCCTTTTGAACACTCGACTTCTAGGCCCGTCGACCTCTCTGAGCTTTCCTTTCAGGCTCTCTCTCGTCTGTTTCTTTCTTCCTCAAACCTCAAATTGTCAAATTGCTTCTCCAACATGTTGAGTATCAAGCACGGGGCTCTTGCGGTAATTTCAAGCATAGGAAGAGGTGCCTGTGCACTTTAGAATCTGAGTGCGCGGAGCTTGGTGCAGTTGTTGGTGGAGGGGTGCCGCTCCACATCCTTCTGCAAGACGTCCATGGCCATGTGCACCTTGCTGCTCACAAACATCTTTCACTATGTGTGGTCGATGCTGGGGTAGTGTTACCAAAAGGGCGCCCTGAGGCTGAACAAGGCAATGCTGGTGATGCTGTTTAAGGCTCCTTGCACTTTCCGCATCCTTTTTTGCCAGATAGCGCGAGCCATGTAGGAAGAGGTGCTTGCGCGTGCTTTGGAGGCAGTGCTGGTGCAGGAATTGGGTGGGATTTATGTCGATGCTGCTCCAGGGCACCTCTCCAAGCCGCGGTAGTTCATGGACATCTCGCAGCAGCACCCTCCCCAGCCCAATGGACGGTTTGCAGTAGCACCTTGGAGGGGATCCTACAGGTTCAAGGTGCAAAGGGCACATGTCCATGGCCGTGTGCGCTTTGGAGCTTGGGTGCTGGTGTGCCAGATGCATTGTAACCTGGGTGCTGGTGCCACTGCAGGCTGCTGCTGCTGCTGCCGCCGCTGCCGCTGCTGCTGTTTGGGGTCTATGCTGGCGTAACCCTTTTCTCTCCTCTTCAAGATCTCTCGCAGCCTTCCTTTCAGACTCTCCTTTGTTGAAGCTTCTATCTTTTCCTTAAACCTGGAACCTCGCATTTCATCATTTCCGGACCCCCACTAGTGGCTCAAGTTCTGACAAGATAAACAATTAGAACAAAGAATTTTAAAGGATGCTACGAACATGATGTGCTCAAACTCCCACTGGTCAAACTAGTGGCTGGTTTAACTAATGGCTCAATTTCTTTCCCCAGATAGATGAAAGCCAATGATTCTTAATGAGGGGGTGGCTGATCGGCGTTTTGCTCCACCGCTGCCACTGCTGCCTTGTTTTTTACAGCTTTGTCTCCATATGTGTCTCTCCGCTTGTCTCCTTGTCTCCCCACTCGGCTGCTTGTGATCAGCGTTTTGTTGCCGCTGCTGCCTTGTCTCCCAATTTGTCTTCCCAATTATTCTTCCGCTTGTTGCCTTACATGTCTCCCCACTTCTGAGAAGATGACCAGATTTGTGAAGCCACGCGGAAAGGTGTCGTTGGACCCACTCACGGTCACTGGAAGCTCTCATGCTTTTGTCTTTTAGAGATCTTTTTTGTGTTTTTTGTTTAGTTTTTTGATAGATAGTTGTTATCTGGGGTCTATGCCGGTGTAATTTTGGATTGAGTGTCTTCAAGAAAAACTACCTTCAAACTCTATTTATATATTGACCTTGGACGAAGGAGTGGATTGCCGGTGCTACCGAGGCAAGTCCTTTTTCAAATCAAAGTCAGTTTTCTCATGGTGTTGAGTTGTTGTCAAATCGTTTTGTCCAAACACGTTTCGATTTCTTTTGGTTCAGAAAACGTATCAATTAGTTTGCATTCTTTTCCAATAGCTTGTGGCTTGTGGCTTATACTCTTGACAATCTGTTGCTAGGATGCAGGAGACTTCATCATGGACCTTTTCTGAGGAATATCGAGCTTGCAGCCATCGCACATGATTGGCCCATGGATTGTGAACACATGGTCACCACCTTTGAAGGAGAAACTGTGATACTTTCTACCTGCTAGTCATGCTAGTGTTGTACGATCCCATCTCTTCAAGAGAGAGAGAGCGGTGCAACCTTTGCAGTTGTGAAGTTGTGGACGGTGTTTCACCGCGCTCTCTCAAAAGTTGAGGAGGCGCTTCGCTTTCTGCGATCAAAACAAGCTCACAATTCCTTTTCGACAGTGCCATCCATGTACTGGCCTTTCTTGTTGCTTCTTTCACAGAACATGGAGCTCTCGCGATCTTTCTGCTCCACCTTAACTTGAGCGGCGACATATATATATATATATATCAAGCGTTTGAGGTGAGCAAACACTTTCAGAGCCCAAGACATGCCTTTTGCCAAGAGCAAGCAAGCGTTTGGCTAAAAAGTATCCAGAAAGTGTCCAGAGGCCAGTGAGACAGTGAGACCCAGCGCACAAAGTGCAAAAATCACATCCAAAGCTTGCAGTTTGTCTGCCGGCCATGGAGTCCCAGGAAGCCTACCATTCGTCAGCCGGATTTGCAAGTGTCTTGTGTGAGGCAGAACCACGCTTGCAAGATCCCAAATTACGAAAGCTAGCCGGCTAGGCTGAAGTTAGTTCTGCGAAAGAAACCAGTTCTTAGGAACCGCCAAAACCAGCGATGACCAACCAATCTAGTAAAGAGCGGTCGCACAATATTAGGAACGCCAGCCAATAGGCTAGGCTGAAGTTAGTTTATTCGAGCAAAGTGAGTCTTTAGGCTTTAGGGTGTTGGGGGGGGCGGACGGGACAAGTTTTTACTTTTCCACAGAGTGGGTTGGTGATGCAGAAGATGCAAGATTACTGAGTTTTGAATCACCACACCACGTGCGCGGACAAATTGTTTTGGCGCTGATGTAAGTTGTTAACAACGTATGGGGCATGTTTTAGTACTGCCGTGCAACTTCAATTTCAACCATCAATGGAACTTGTGCAGAAGATAGGGAGCCAAATATGCAGGAGGACGAAGGACATGAATCAGGCTCCATACATTTTCCAAAGGTGGTACTCCAGCTGTGTCAGGAGGTCAATGGCTATTTAGATCACGCCAACTATACTGTATAACAAGATTGGGGAAACCAGGAATGCGGTTAAAGCCTTACACTTGCTTGGGGCTGTCCTGCTTTTGCTCCCTGTTGGCCATAGAAGCTTCACTTGCGATGACCTGGTCATGTCATTGTGCTTTGAAGCACCTTGGGCTTGTGGTAGCACACACACACACATTTTCGGGTTGTTCCATGTTTGTGGAATTAGTAATATAGAACTAGGTCCACGGCTCATAGATGGCCGTGGGGTTTTGTAGGCGTACCGTGCATGACTGCCGATGCATTAGCGCTTTACCAAAGGTTGAAAACTTGCAGGTACGCCGAGTTGATCAGACTCGGTATCCCGTGATTGTGGTGGCTTCGTTGAGTGCGGTCCCACAATCACGCCGCACTCCCCTGCTATAAACAACTAGACGACGGTTGGCCCGAGAGCGAGACAGGTGATTGTTCAGCACTGTCGAGTTATGAAACAATAAAAATCGAGTTGTCCAAGAGCCATGACTTCTTTATACAATCTGTTATTGGGTAAGAAGTTGCGAAGAAATTACACTTAAAATGTAAAGAAAAGATATATAGAAGGAGGGAAAGAGAGGGCGGACGTGAAGGAGTGACAGTGTGGATGTGCAGATGCGATATAGATGTACAGATGTGTGGAGGTGGAGAGGTAGATCTGCAGATGTGAGCGTGTCAAGATGTAAATCTACGCAGGTGAGAGAAAGGACATGTAGAAAGAAAGAAAGAAAGAAAGAAAGAAAGAAAGAGAGGGCAGATGTGAAGGAGTGACAGTGTGGATGTACAGATGTGATATAGATGTGCAGATGTGTGGGTGTGTGGAGGTAGAGAGGTAGATCTGCGGATGTGAGCGTGTGACAATGTAAATGTACAGAGCACACTAGAAGCGATCCTATCACACGATACCGCCAATCATCCCGCTCACCAGCGACACGCCG